CCTCTCCCCATACACCCTACCCCATTCACCCCAGCCCCCCAATCCCTCAAACCTCCCCCCCCACCCTGTTCACGCACCGCTCATAACAGGCTAAAGCCTCACATTAAAGTGAATCAATAATGTATATTCTCTCAGTCAGCAGATTATACAAACATGAAAGTAGTAGAGAGCTGTCAGCTCCCCGTTCATTAAAACTAATGATCCTACACAACCAGACTTTCAAATAAGAATCATCTTGTAAGCCCCCTGACAACACATTCTGTCAAATGTTCAGCCCCCTCCCCCCTTTTTTTCCTTTCTTTCAAGGGTAAGATAAAATTAAATTCCCGATAACTGCGCTAAATACGATTGTTAAAAAAAAAAAAATTGCAAGTCCGTTTGGTGCGTAATGTTTTCTATTCTTTTTCTGAAATGGTTGGTGAAATAAATCTGCCGTGTAAAAGGGGGTGGGGCATTAGAATATTAATAAAGTTCAGGGGCGTGAAACATGATGTGCGGTTGCGAGCCTTGGTGGGGGTGAGGGTGGGGGAGATTGAGGGATGGCTGATGGATTAGGGCAGGAAAGGATGGTTAAGGACAGGAGGGGTGGGGGTGGTGGCGGGAGAGGACTAATTGGAACTCTTATAAAGTGTGTCACTTGTGTGCATGTTGTGTCAAATTTGCCTCAGCCCTGCTCCCCAGTGGCTCGATATTACATTTTAGAAAGGAGTTATATGAAAAACTTGTTGAATTTTTTAAAATTATTTCGTTTGACCTATTCTTGTCCATGATGTTCGAATTTCTCTACTCTTGACTTCACTGGGATCTACAAATTAAAAAAAAATTGCCATAAGACTGAAATGGTTATTGTTTGATAATTAATATCAATCATTGAAGATGCACCGTTAGATATAATTTTTTTTTTAGAATCTTAGTTAGAGATACATTTCTTTTATTGTTTTTTTTTTTTTTTAAATTTTGTTTGTTTGTTTGTTTGTTTGTTTGTTTGTTTGTTTTTTTGGTTTTTTTTTAAATTTTTGGAACCCATTTTTTTGATTTGCAAATTAATTTTCCAACACGATATTCACAAGTCGATGTCATTAAACTGACAAATGTATGTGTACCCGTGCTCACTATCAAACACACACTACCAAACACACACTACCAAAGACACACACTACCAAACACACACACTACCAAACACACACACTACCAAACACACACACTACCAAACACACAC